TTGTAGGATGACAGACGAATTTAAAGATTTGGAGGGAAGTAGTCGTTGCTTGATCGACGCTACTAACATTTGCTTGGATAGACTAAGGAAAACAACTCACAACCTCAGGATAGTCATCATTCCGTGCCATGGAAAGTCTGTCAGTGCGGCTACTTTTGGATGAATTTGGTGATTGTTGAATGACCAGGATCGTATCCAGTGGCGGTCCGTGTTATTGCCAATTCTGCTACCATGAATTCACTTCTATTTCTCAAATCGAATGCAAATGCGGTTGCTTGATAGGCAAGGCCTCTGATATCACTTGTAGGCGCGGATGCAGAGTAGCCTTGCAGAGTTATGTTGCAGAATAATGACGATAGAGGCTGTTTTATTGGGCCCGTGTGATATTTATGTGACCGTATATCAGAGCGGCCAACTGTTCACATGGAACAAACGCTTGACCCTCCAGCTAAATGAAAAGCAAAAGGGTATTCAGTTTAATTCATTCAGGCGACATTTACATGTAGTAAATCAGGTGCATAGACAACTTTCGGAATAATAAAAAAAAGGCAATGTAATTTTCCACATTTCCGAGTCAACAATGATAGTTTTATTATTACATTTCCCTGAAGGTATAAAATGGACGATGTGTTTGCAAATAATATTGCCCCCTCTCCCCCGAAATTTCATGACTACATATAGTTCATACGCGAAATTATGCCCCCATTTTGTTTTGTGTTGGGTCGAATGTTGATACGAAGATCGAGTCTTTGGTTGTAAGTTTTGAGGTTTTCACGGCGATGACTATGAAGAAAGTCGTCTTCTGGGTTTAGGCGCCGTGTATTCTTCGTTTTGGCCGACGTTTCGGAGGAACGTATCGCCTCCATCTTCAGAGCTGTTGAATGGCTTGGAATGCAGAGAGCAGTAGCTGTAACTACGAAGAATACACGGCGCCTAAACCCAGAGGACGACTTTCTTCAGAACCTTTGGTTGTTTAACGTCGCCGATTTAACTACTGAGGTTTTTTTGCAACTAAAATTTAAAGCCCCTGTACCTAATAATTAAGCACCACGCCATGAAGGCATATTAGGGAATGGAGGTATAGCTCCACCTTTCTTTACCACGATAGTAGACGGATGACGAGTACATAGAGGATATTAGTGGGAAAGCCAGGAGGAAAGAGACCACTGGGAAAACTAAGGCTTAGGTGGGTATGTATAAGGGGTGTGTTTTTTCGGTCCTTGCACCGCGAACTACAGTGGTCTATTGTGCTTAAGGCTTAGGTGTGTGGACAATATTAAAATGGATCTTAGAGAGATAGGATGGGATGGATCGGATTGATCTGGCTGAGGATAGGGACCAGTGGAGGGCTCTTGTGAACACGGTAATGAACCTTCGGGTTCCATAAAATGCTGGAAAATTCTTGAGTAGCTGCAGAATTGGCGGCTCCTCTAGAAGTGAGTGCGTGTCCATGAGCTTCACGCAGTGGCCGCCTTATTCCCGGGGAAAGAGACCGCGGTACCTGTTGGACATGATGCTGGTTGAGCCCCAGAGCCGGCACGGATGGTGTGGCGCTGAAAGAAATGTTACCTCTTCCGGAAATCGAACTCCGGACGTCGCTCTAAAGAGATCGAACTGAAAGAGACTGAAGTAGTGAATTGGACATGTGTAAGAAAGGGGTCGATGCGTAGTTCATGTCATTGCCTCGGCGCCAACAGCGAAAAAGTAAGAGATTGTTACGAATGTTATAAAATTCTCGCTGACATGCAGAATCCCGTCCGAAGGCACTAAGCTATGTACACGCGAGCGGACTGACTGTCCGTTCAACTCTGTGATGAAGCTGTAGTCCCTCTAGCGATCAGTGGGCAGAATGATGGCTCACTATGTCCCTGTGTCCCTGTAAGGTAAGGTCATTGTCGACAAGAAGCGTGGAGAGTGGAAATGTGTATGCTGTTAGTGTATGTTCATGGAAGCTAGTCAGATTTTTTTCCCCCTTGGCACTATAGCCCCAGTGGGCCTAGGCCTACCTCCATGAACTTCTCCGTTCACTTCGGTTTTTCTAGATCTTACACATACGGTAGGACTCCTTGGGCGGGTGATTAGCTCGTCGCAAGGCCTCTACCTGTACACAAACACAGAAAAACACACACACAAACTAAACATCCATGCCCTGAGTGGGATTCGAACCCACGATCCCGATTTCCAAGCGAGCGAAGACAGTACATGCCTCAGACCGCGCGGCTACCGTGACCGGCAGTGTATAAGAATAATATATAAGAATTCAGTCCGTACCTCACAGGAAACAGATCCGAACCCACGATCCCGGCTTCCGAGCGAGCCAAGACAGTGCATGCCTTAGACCGCTCGGCTACCGTGACCGGCACAGCTAGTCAGATTAGTAAGCTACGGACAGATATTTAGTATAGATAATTTTAAATTTGACTGAAAATAAAATTCTGGGAAGGTCGCGGGTTTAAGTCCCGATGAGGTTATTGGATTTTTTTCAGTTGACCTGATCCTTCCGGCCGCACTAGACCCTGGGGTTTACTCAGCCTCTAACAGAAATGAGTACCAGGAATTAATTAAATACTTTTCCTGGGGGTAAAGGGCGGCCGGCGCATAATGCTGACAACCTTACCGCCAACTTTGAGTCGATTTTCTAGATAATGTGGGACCCTCAACATCTCACAACCCTATGGGCCTTCATGTCCTGTTACAGGGATAGCTTTACTTACTTACTTTTACTTTACAAAGAAATGACCGTGTCATTTTCGGTTAATTTTAGAGTATGTCTTCCTACAATGGGGGGCACGCGGTAACGTAGTTGGTTGAGGCACTATGCTACAAACCGGAAGGTCGCGGGTTAGATTCCCAGTGATGTCACTGGATTTTACCATTGACCTAATACTTCCAGCCGCACTATGGCCATGAGGTCGACTCAGCCTCTAACAGAAATGAGTACCAGGAATCTTCCTTGAGGCTAAATTGCAGCAGGCGCGTGAGGCTGTCAACCTCACCGCCATCTATGAGCCGATTTTGTAGAGAAAATGTGGGAGCCTCGACGTCTCACAACCCTATGGGCCTTCACGGCCTGTTACAGGGATAGCTTTACCTTTTATTTACAATTTCGCCACACCTGTGCCTTCTTCTCACAGTGTGCCTGCAGACACACTCGATGGTTGCCATGTTTTCTCACTCACAACCCGCAAGTGAGGACTACAAACGGGGCCTCTACTTCTATTCAGATGTGCGTGGGAACTTAGGAACAGGATGTTACATGGACTGGATTGTCTGTAGTGCCTTTCCATGAGCTAGGCAAAAGTGTTAGAATTTGTGGCAATAAGAACAGTCCTTTGAGTTACTACAAAAGATATATCATGAAACAATATTGGTGAGTGGAGGTGTAGCTCCACAATTCTTGACCTCGACATTAGGTTTATGGGAGGTGTCAGCTTCACGACCAGGCCGCTTTCCCCCCGTGGCTATAGCCCACGGTTCCTGTTGGATAGGAGGCTGGATGGGCCTCAGAGCCGCTCTGGACGACGTGGAGAAGAGAGAAACCTCGCAATGAACGGGAATCGTGCTCCGGCCGCTCCAGCCCCAAGCCCGTCGCTATACCAACTGAGCTATCCCTGATCCTCTCTTGTCCTAATGGAGGTGGTACCTTAGCATTTACCTGCAGGGAGTGACGAAACTCATAACAAATCTCAGTTAGGATATCAATTTTCCCGGTCAGGATCCGAACCTAGTACCTCCTGAATATAAATCAGATGTAGAAGCTTATGGCTGTGGTATATTAATACAACGATTGCCTTTTTGGGCATTATCCATCGTCCTGTTTTGTATTTAAAAGAAACGTTTCGGAGCCTGGAATTTTCTCCTTCCTCAATTTAAAGCCTACTCATTTCGGCCCAGTCGATAGAGGTAATTCATGTCTCAGGAGTACGGAGTAAGTTTCTGCCTCAGTTCCTGTCTCCGTAGTACCGAGTAAGTTTCTGCCACAGTTCCTGTCTCCGGAGTACCTAGTAAGTTCCTGTCTCAGTTCCTGTCTCCGGAGTTCCGAGTAAGTTTCTGCCTCACTTCCTGTCTCCGGAGTACCGAGTAAGTTTCTGCGTCAGTTCCTGTATCCGGAGTACCGAGTAAATTTCCGCCTCAGTTCATGTCCCCGGAGTTCCGAGTAAGTTTCTGCCTCAGTTCCTGTCTCCGGAGTGCCGAGTAAGTTTCTGCCTCAGGACGGAGACAGAGTCCAGTCTCCGAATCGTTGCTTTTAAGAACCGGAGTTAGGGACTAGCTCTATCGATTGGGCCAACTGAGTAGGCATTTATCCGAGGACGCAGACGAAACCCAATATCCAAACTTTGTTTTTAAATAAACACATGACGATGTATCATGTCCAAAAATTCAGTAATTGTACTTGAATATAACAGACTGTAGCATGTTACCGCACTGTTAACCTGTAACGGGATCCGTTAGACCCCGAAGCTAGTTTTGAGTGAATAAGATTGATGCGTACAAGAGGAAACAGGGGCAGTTCAGTCATATGATACTAGACCTGCTCCTTGCTTTCTTTGTAAACTGGCATAAAGAATAAAGTAGAGGGTGTGTCCCAAACGACTCACTCTTCCCGTAACTCATTACTCTATAAAATAATATTGCCTTTCCCAGGTTAGGTTAGAAGAAAATATAGTTAATGATGTAGTGGAGGGGTGACGCCCTCGTGTTTGTCATGACGACCAAGAGCGTTGGTTGGGGGGAGGGGGCGTGGTGAACCCCGTTGGTCACGTGATGCGGGCAAACACTGCAGCACAAAACACCCAACCGAACCATGCCCCCACCGCCCCCTCGTAGTTCCTTCACACCGACAGACTACACACTCTGGCTAAGTTGAAGTTTAGTCGTATTTAGTTAGGCATCATGTTTAGGCGCTCAAAGATAAACGTGGTTCTCTTTCGCGCGTGAACTAGTGTCCCCCCACTCCTAGCTCGTGGTTGGCTAAATGAATTATCACACACGTGGGCCGTTTAAATGTCTTCTTGTTGTGAGCATTGCGCACACACTATATGTTGGCAGCTAACAAGGTCTTATTGCGTGTTGTAATCATTAGTCTGATGAGTGGCGGTGCGCACGGATGTCAGCTGCTTGGGAGCGGAAAGTCTTTGCATTCTTTCGCTTGCATTGCCTCAGTGGACATGAGTCTCCGCCATTTTTTTTTTAAAGTGAATCAGGAAGTTTGAAAATGTTTGCATCGTGGTTGTGGTTCAGTTGATGACTGTTAGACTCAGTTCGAAGATTAAATCATTTGTGCTGTGTTTTATATGTGCGACGACAGATTTTTTAAACTTGCTTCTTGTCACAGATTGTTTTTTTTTCATATCTGCCATATTTAATTGTGCGATGTTGTTGATTTTTATGTGTTTTTAAAGCGCATTGATTCAGTAGAGTAACAGTCGACTTATATATGTGTTAATCGATAAAAGAGAGAACAAACATCGATATAATTGTTGTTCGATATTTTATGTGCTATCAGATTGTGTTTAATGTGAAATATGACAGAAATGGTTCCTACCAGTAATGTTTTTCAAGCACACGTATATTTCATTAACGGAAACAATAGGATTTCTTTATATTGCGGATGAAATAAAACGTTAACGTGTTAGTAACGTAAAATTTGGTTGCGTTCTGTAATCATAATTGTTAATGATACATCCTGCAGTAATGGCCGCGTGTTTCGGGCCACCGCCAATACCCCCAAAGCGGTCATCCGGAGAGGCACGCCGACAGCCGTTAAACAGAAAGAACAGAAGCCTGACTTCAACGTATCGTAGTTTCAGAGACCCGTCTGAAGAAGACGAGATTATTGTGGTCGCTTCGGAAGACTTGGAAGTGGCATCAATTACGAATAGAACTTATTCCAAACAGCATTCTCTTAGTTCGATGACAAACTCTCTAAGTAGGAAAAGCAGTGTTTCAAGTTCGACGGTATCCTTATCTCTGCTGAGTCGAAGTCACTCTGATGGAAACTTGGCAAACTGCGCTCGACGAGGGGCTCATCCATCTTCCGGTTCCGGGAACGTCAGCGCGGCTTCAGGGACATTGAATCGATGTCTTCGGGCCCTAGGGAGCAGCTGGAAAAATCTTTTGCAGTGTGAGTGCAGTGATTCTTCTATAGCAGCAAATAGTACTTTTTTTTTCTGGTCTGGCAGCTTTATATAATTGTTTATGGTGTACCTTATAAGGTAGGATAGTATGGATTGGATTGATCTGGCTCAGGATAGGGGCCAGTGGAGGGCTCTTGTGAAGACGGTAATGAAGGTTCGGGTTCCATCAAATGTTAAACTGTTTCGGAAGCTGCACAATTGGCGGCTTCTCAAGAAGGGCGCATCTCCATGAGTTCGAAGGGGCCCAAACAACTTTTTTTTTAAGTATCTTGGGTTGGGGTGAGACTGAGTCCACTTGGTACGTCGGCCACTAACTGACCTATTGCACCAGCTCCGGATGATAGACGATGATGAATGTGGAGCGGTCGGTGGAATGAAAATGGCAGAGGAAACCGAAGTACTCGGAGAAAACCTGCCAAAATGCCGCTTTGTCCACTACTAATCCCACATGACCTCACCTGGGATCGAACCCGGGCCGCAGCAGTGGAAAGCCGGCGACTAACCGCCTGAGGTATGGCACGGCCTGCCTAAGTAACTCTAATCTCTATATTGTCTGCAACGTTCGTGTTGCCAACCTTAGAAGTTTAATGGTAAAACAGAATTGAATCTCAGTTTGTTTTTGTAAAAATTTGAAGTCACGTGAGTTTTCCGTAAGTACATTTTTTTGTTTCAGACAATTTAACTCGGTTAGTATAGTGACTGGGCTACGGACTGGGTAACCAAAGAATTGTGATTCGATTCCTGATAGGGGCAAGGGACATTGTCTTCTCCACAGCATCCAGACCGGCTTTGGGTCCCTATCGAATGGGTACCATTGCGATATTTCCCCTGGGGAGTAAAGCTGTAAACATCCTCTCTCCGTAGTAAGGTTTGTACACCCCTGTACCAGGCCGTGTGGCAGATAGGTCCCTGGATATTTGTCTGGAGTTTGGTGGCAAACAGAACCTCTTCTTCAACCATATCCAGGCCCAAGTGTTTGTGTAATTTGTGAGCTGTCCCGTGTGGTGATAAGCAGATGCACCTTCATGCTGATGTCTTCTGAACTAAGATAAGGTGTTGTAGTCTCCTGTGCGGTTAGTGATGTTTCGGCGGAACACATTACCTCCATTTTCAGGGTTCAGTAGCGCAATTTCAGAAGTCTCAATTCCCTCAGCATCCAATAGCAGATAATAATAGTGTCACGTGTTTGAGTGACTGTTTTGGACTGGATTTATTGACCATTTTAACACACGACTCGTGATTACACTCTCCACACTTTACAGATAACTATAGTAAAGGCTAAGAACTTCACAGTCTGCAACTGTCGTTCCCTAGTAACGGCTTCTAACAGTGGAGATTCTGCAGCTTCTGTGCTAATTGCACCGACTAAGTCTTGTGTTCACGGACTACGTTACAAGTCTCTTAACTGCAGGGCTTCAGCTGACTAACTCCTAGGCTGGCGGCCATTTCACACCAACTTCGCGGCTGACTTTCAACTGCCAGCTGAGTCAGAGTCAGAGTCAGAATCACTTTACGAGTGGCAGTTTACCGCCAATCGGTATTGTCTTGGCGACAAGCCCCTTGAGACTCTGACCAGAATTTTTCTCAATTGAACCCTTGCGGTAGTAGTCCTTATGTAACGTACTCTGTGACGAGAGGATGGGTATGTCGTTTACAATTGCTGCGGTCCTCGCCAGCGCAGTCTTTCTCAAATCCGAGTCCCGCTGGATTCATGACCATATTTTTCTGCCTCAGATTCGAGACTCCCCCAACCTGGAGAGGCAGGTCCTCGTATTTATATCCCCCCAGAAACAGAGTTCCCTTTTCGTCGCCTCTTACGACTCACAGGACTACGGTGGAGGTATTTCAACCCGCCTCCACACGGGAAGACAACTGCTCAAAGTCAGAGTTGATTTTTTATGTATACAAAATGTGATTTTTGATTCGAAATATGTGCAGTTAAGTAACAGAATGAACTTATATAACGCTTATTTATTATTAGCCTTACTTATATGTTTACTTTTTAGCCTACTTTGCTTATTTTGCAAAGTAGCTCCTTGCGGTCTGTATAATTTTTTTTTTCTTAATTCGCTTAGTGGTGGGGGGGTGGAGTCCAGCTGGGTCCACTCGGCACGGCGGCCACTGATTGGCCTATTGTACCCTGCCCCGGGTGATTAGGATGATTCAGAATTTGGTGGAATGAAGATTGACAGGGGGAACCGAAGTCCTCTGAGAAAATCCGCTCCAGCGCCAATTTGTCCACCACAAATCCCACTTGACCATACCCGGAATCGAACCCGGGCCGCCGCGGTTGGAAGCCAGTGGCTAACAGCTTGAGCTATGGCACGGCCTTGCTGTCTGTGTATCTTTCTGTGTCTGTCCATCCGACTGGACTGTTCCCCCCCCCTTGGTGTTACGAGGTGTAAGAGATCACGTTGTTTGTCAATGTGTCCGTCAACACAGCAATTCGGGTAAAAGTAACAACAAAGCTTATTGACAGTAATGTTGATGACGACATATTTCGACCCCTGTTGGGTCATCATCAGGTATATCTCTTTGTATTTAGATGGTGAATTTTTGATCAATATGATCCATATTTTTCATCAACTTTGACCATGTGTATTCATAATGTGTATGTATTAACAGTCTTCAAGTGCATACAATCCCATCTACCACTTCTACACTACATGTTTCGGCAGNGTCGTTCTTCTTATGTTTCTAATGTTGTGTGTGTATTGTGTCTTATGGTGTGTTCTACTCTTGTGGCTGCGTGTGTTGTATCGCTAAAATACAACATAGTTTGACCATGTGATTATTGCTTAGTAGTGATCCTCTGGTGTGTCCACTCATCTGCTTTTAACCTTATCGGAGCAAAATGAAATGAAATTCAAGTTAGCTGAAAATTAATTTAAAATTAATTGAGATTAAAAGAAATTCAGTACTTCACCCAGTGTATGGGTTCGTTTTAAATACTCAAATTATATATATATATATATATATAATTCCGGATGATCGTGAACGCCTATTTAACCCCTAAGTTTTGTTAGCAGGCTTATGAGATCACCTTGCTGTCTGTATGTCCTCTCAAATTTCTTTTTTTTTTTATATGGGACCCATGTCTGTCAGAGGAAATTAGGCTATTAGTTTTCCCCAGAAATTCTTGTCTTATCATATCTAGGATTTTTATTAGTGATTCCATTAAAATGTTCCTAGTGTGGCCAGGTTACATGGCCGATTTAAATTTTGAAGCATTGATCCAAATCAGTTCGTTGCTAGGAACGGCTCCCTCAAGGCCGCGCCATTGCTCAAGAGGTTAGTCGATGGCTTCCCACCACGACGGCCCGAGTTCGATCCAGGAGTCTGATCAAGTGGGTTTTGTGGTGGACAAAGTGGCGCTGGGGTAGGTTTTCTCCGAGTACTTCGCTTTCCCCTGCCAATCTTCATTCCACCAAATTCGCCATCATCATAATCACCCGGGGCAGGCTACAATAGGCCAATCAGTGGCCGCCGTGCCGAGTGGACACAGTTGGACTCCATCCCCCACTAAGCGAATTAAAAAAAAAAGGGCTCCCTCCTCAGTTTATGATACAGATATTGATATCGAAAAGACAGAGTTTCTTCTTCATGATGACATGCTGGGAGGGACGGAATGGATTAGTTTGACTTCTTTCCAGGTACCCATAAAGAGTGCATTCATTGTATTTCTCCCACACTCTCCGCCTACTTCCTTGGCATTCAACAAATATATGAATCTTTTGAAGGTCGTCCAGCTCAATGGAATGGTGTAATAATGAAAGTGGGCTTCAAGGAGAACGTTTATATTAGTTGCAGCCATTTCTTCAGAGAATTTCGCGTTCCGAGATCAGAGCAATGCTGAAGACCTCGTGTGTACCCCATCCGGCGTCTGTAACACCTTTTGATTTTATCGTAGTGGCTCTGTACAACGTACTGAGAGATAGAAACATTAAAGGCAAAGAAACACAACGCTATGGAGGCGTGTGGGGGAGTGGGTGTATAGCTCCACCCATTTTTAATATCTCCACGTAAAGTTGTTCATGTGCTTAACTAATTAAGCACTACACCATGAAGACGTGTGGGGGGGGGAGTGGATATATAGACCCACGTTTTCTTGACCTTGGCACTAGTTGAAGTTGAGTGGTCAGCTTCATGCCTCGGTCGCTTTACTCCCGGGGAAAAAGCCACCGGTACCCATTGGATAGACTGGGTGAGACCCAGAGCCGGTCTGGATGCTAGCGAAATTAATTATTTTATTATTTGATGGCGCTAATTTAAGTACTTAGGTTTTTTACCACATAAAAGTAAAGTTGTGCCTCTGTATAATTTATTAAACACTGCACCATGATTGGATTGGATTGGTCATGTTTTACGCAGAAACTGCCTTCTAAAAGAAGCTATCGAAGGAAAGATAGATGGGCGGATAGAAGTGACACGAAGACGAGGAAGAAGACGTAAGAAGATGCTGGATGACCTTGGGGACAGAAGAGGATATTCTCATTTGAAGGAGAAAGCTCTAGATCGCATTAAGTGGAGGAATTGTTTTGAAAGAGACTGTGGACCTGTCGTCTTGACAGATTACTGATGATGATGATGATGCACCATGAAGACACTTTGGATAATGGAGGTATAGCTGAATCATTCTCAGCGTTGGTACTAGATGGAGGTGAGTGGCCAGCCTCACGTCCCGGCAGCTTTATCCCTTGGGAAATGAAACCCAATTCCCCGTTGTATAGGAGGCTGACTGGGCCCAAAGGCCGGTATGAAAACTGCGAAAAAAAAGAAATTAATTTCCTCTGCCGAGAATCTAACCACTGTCCCTTCCGTAGCACGTCGTTTTACCGACTGAGCTGTCCTCGCTCCTATATATTTTTTTTTAAATTCGCTTAGTGAGGGGTGGAGTCCAGCTGGCTCCACTAGGCACGGCGGCCACTGATTGACCTATTGTAAGCCTGCCCCGGGTGATTATGATGATGGAGAATTTGGTGGAATG